TACTCCATTAGTGCAATCCTAACCCTACTATCCACTAGAAACTTTTTAAGTAGGTAAACACTTGAATTAAACTTACATTAATCAACCGATTATTATACACATTTAACCAAACTCAAGCTAATCCTTAATTTAACTGACTAAATTATTAAACGAGATATGATTTCCAAATTCTAAACATACTGACCACACAAACTTATGAAACCAAGAACAAATTCACCAAACATTCTAAAAAACAAAACAACGAACATAAGATAGTTTATATCAGAAGATTGGTCGAGTTTTCAATTGAAATCGACCAGAGAAAAGAAAAAGAGATGGGGAAAGACGAACAATAGAATAATACTAACGAGAATAAACACAAACTAGGAAAGAACTCACCGGCCAGACTCGAACTTGGAATTGGCACTCTGAATCAACCCAAAATAATATCAAACGTTTGTTCTTGGTGGAGAAAAAACGAGCGTCATTATTTTGTGATGAAACAGGCTTGAATAAGCCAAGAAATCTAGCAAAATGACCTTTCATGCACTAGTCAGAATTTAGGGTTCTAAGGCTCGAACTCAGATTTGATATTCGAAGAGTCCTGGATACATTCGAGGGAAACTAATGATATATTGGGCATGAGGGGGTTATGGAGGGTATGGGGTGTTAGTTTGGGGTCGATTGGAGGTGGCGCCACCACCAGAGAAAGTTAGGGCGGCGCTAGGGTTCATCCATTCGAATCGATATTCGAAGGGCTCCAGGGATGTTCGAAGGTAACGGGTTACGGATTTGGGAAGAGGGGAGTGAGGGGGTTCTACGGTGTAAATTTGGGGCTGGTTGGCCACCGTCCGCCGCCGCGGGCGATTTTCGGCGGGCGGTCAGTAGCGATGTGAGGTTGGTCTCTGAAGAGAGACGAGAGACGAAGGAGGCGGGTTTTTAGGGGGTAAGGGGGTTTGGGGTTTAGGTATACTAAATCATTGATTTAATTAGGACCGTTGGATGATTGGAATCCAACGACTCTGATTAAATCATTAAAGGAAACTAGGTCGTTTTGGTTGATTGAGGTTGGGTCGGGCACGGGGAATGCCGGTCAGAGTCGGGTAATGGGAAATGGGGCTAAGTTCTAGTCGTTGGATGTAGATGAATGGACGGTTGAGATCTGTTGAAATCGAAACGACGTAGTTCTGTCCCTATACTACGTCATTTCAATGGTCTCAGAGACTAAAAGTTTGGACCGGGTATGGGGCATGTTTTTGGCCTGGACCGGACGGGTTTTGGGGTAATTTGATTTGGGCTTTGAATTAATTAAACATGGCCCAAGAATTCCAATTTCTCTTTTATTCTTTCCTTTTCCTCCTCTCAAAATTAAAATAAAAACTTAATTTATCCCCAAACCAAATTATTCTATCAAATTAACTTAATTATCTCTAAATAATAATTATCACCAATAATTGAATACCAAGAAAATCACACAATTTTGACCTTAAACACTAAAAATGCAAAATACGTTATTTTTTGGGATTTTTCATTTTTGTAAAACAACAATTTACTTAGTTAATTTAAAAATGTAAAACTAAATTCTAAATGTAGATGCTATATTTTTTGTATTTTCAATGCATTAATAAAATTAAATATGCACAAAATATGCAAACACTCAGGCAAATTGCACAGTAATTCCTAATTTTAGCAAATAATTAGAGAAAAGACCTAATTTTAGGAATTCTTTTGGAGTAATTCATGTGAGGCAAAAATCACGTGCTCACAATAGTTGTGCCAACTAAACACTCCACCTCGTTATCAACCATTATCATTATTTATAACCCATATGTTTTTATTTTTTTTATGCTTCAATTTCCACACCTTTTCTCTATCTCAATGGTTTCACTCAAAAACCAAACCACCACCCCACACTTTTACTTTTGCATATTTCCATTGCCGTTCAAGTGCTTATTGGGAGGTAAAAGGGTTCAAACGGCAAGCTATTCAAACAATTGGGTAAGATTCGCAATGTGGTTGCCAAAGAAATAAACTTATAGGCTCAACGGGGTTAACTACGATATATTACATTCAGGTGGGTTTACTTTATATATCCGGCTCAACAAAGAAATGCCTATATCACTTCTAAAACTGAAAGAAACTATTATTTCGCTTTGCAAACACATAGGGCAAGTTCTAGGCATCAAATATGAAACATGGCAGTAGAACTCACACACACATGACACATGACTTACTCCGGATTGGGTTATCAAGACATTCTCTTTTAAGTGTTCAAGTTAGATACAAACGTACAATTTTAAGGCACTCTAACAGGATTTAACCAATGAAGCTAGGCGTTACACTCTAGTGTCTATTGTGTTCAGGTGTAAAAAAAATCGATTTTTCGCTCATAGCCCATTAATCCTAACCTAAAACTAAAAAGCACAAAAACAAAAACTACCTATACCCGGTTCAAGCTAAACTCTTGGAAAAGAACCGTGGCCCAAAGAAAAACCAAGGGGGAGTTACTACACTACCTAAAAATAAAATAAAATAAATCTTTTTGGTCTTTTCTCTAGACTACTTCCCTCAAGAAAATTGTCTAACGGGTCTGTCATCAGGAAGAGTCTCCATATTCCAATTTTTTTATTCCGACTTAGTCCCTCAAGAACCCCGCCGAAAGAGATCCATCATCGGGGCAAGTCACTTACTATTTTAGCTTTCCTAATGAACTATTACTCTTCATCAAAACAATCAAAGCAAGACAAAACAAGCAAAATCAAACAGTCAATTATTACAATTACAAACATACAATAAAGTATCCCCACCCCACACTTAAAATGAAGACATGTCCCCATGGTTTAAAATTTAAAGAACAGTGAGGTTAAGGAACTTCCCTGAAGGCTCACTCTTGATCAGAGACAGTGTCTAGGTTCACGTTGCATGCACGTCCCAGCGCTCTCAACCAACCCAAGAATTTCTTCTCCGATTTCACCTGCCTCTCAGCCACCGCATCAACACGAACACCCAAATCAGTGACTGAGGTACGCAACCCAGCCATATCCTGCTCCAAAGCTGTCATACGGGTGCTCCACTGTGGCTGTGATGGGCCTGCCACATCAACTCTCAGAGGAGGGGGAACCTCAACTACCTCAGCATCATCATCATCATCAGCCGAATCATCATCAGAGTCATCAACATTCACCACCGGCTCTCGTCCAGTTCCAATTTTTCTCGCCTGAAACGGGGTTTTTAGTGGCAATCTCCCATCAACCCGAGGGTCTTCGGGGACTCGAGCAATACGGCACAACCGAGTGATCAACGAAGGAAAGTAGTGGCCCTTGGTTAGCTCAGGTGATCGAATGGACATCTCTTCATGAATGAGCCAGGCCACATCAAAATCACTGTGGGACATAAAATAATGGATTGCGGACGCCCGTGGTAGATTAACATCTGTCGTGTTGCTGGATGGCAATAATCGACTGTTGACAATGGTGAGCCAACACTTGGCCTCCCAGTTCAGATAGTGGGAGTTGAGAGTAATCTTGTGCTTGATCCATAGGTGTTCTCCGTCAGGAACACAGATAGTTTCAAGAAGAGTGCCCCACAAGACCCGTGTTCCACTAAAAGTACGATAAGGATCAAATTCACCCCGAAACACAGGTAGCCTGTATACCCTGCAGATAGCGTCAAGGGATGCATTTACCGGGGTATTGCGCACCATCACAACCCCATTCTCATATTCTAGCAAGTTTGCATAGAACTCCCTTACTAGTTGAATATTAGCCTCCTCTGGTACCTCGAAGAAGATGTCCAGCTGACACCGCCGCAGCTCATTAAACATATTGGGGCATTCCACCTCCAAAGCCATTCGATCAATGTGCACCTCAGGTTGTAGCTTTTTGGCTGCTTTCTGGTTGTACCTATCCTCCGCTACCCTGGATACAAATCGAGTGCTATCGAACTGAGGTGCACTGGCTTGGCTCCTAGCTCGTGAGGAGCTTCCCGGTCCACTAATAGAGGGTCCGGTGTTTCGTCTCTTCCTGGAAGAACTCATTGTACCTATCATACAACGAAACGCCTATTAGTGAGTGCGCAAAATATGTGACTATGTATGGTTACTCAGACTTCACCAAAACCATGTCACAATAGCTCCTTATATCTCCATTGGGGCAATTTCCCAAACACCTTGTGAGCAAGGCACTATCCAGACACGTATAGCCCTCATGGGTACATCAAAACTCCTCCCCAATCAAGTATACTACCACACCAACACACCCCACACTTACTTCAGTCAATCACCCACCAATAACACCGTTCAAACATGCAATGCACAGCCCTTCACTAATCAAACTCAAAAACAAAATTGAAAAGCAAAAACAAGAAGAAAAAGAGTACACCAACAAGTACATCCCAACATAACATAAAATTACATAAACTACAACACAATACTAAAGAAAGAGAAAGAAGAGGTGAGGAATATACCGTAGTTGAAGAATGGGGAGAGGAATGGAAGTGGGAGATGTTAGTATGAGGGAAGAAGAAGAAGAAGAAGGAGAGAGTATTGGAGGGGTTAGGGTTTAGGGGGGAGAGAAATTGGGAATATGGGGGCGGGGATCGGTGTTTTGGGTTTAAGAGAGGGGGAGTTTGGGTTGTAAAATTAAAAGAGGAGGAAAAGAAATAAGAAAAACGGAAAAAAAATTAAAAAATTAAAATTACCTGGGACTGACCGCGGTGGGTTTCAAAATCTGAGGCAGAAAGTTTACGCCTCACCGCGGTTTACCGCGATCCACCGCGGTTACGGTGAGATGAAAAATCTGAGGCAGAAAGTTTACGCCTCACCGCGGTTTACCGCGATCCACCGCGGTCGCAGTGAGATGAAAAATATGAGGCAGAATGTTTGCCTTCCACCGCGGTCGCGGTGCTGGCGCTGATTTTTTTTTAATATATGAAGTTACATGAACACACTAACAACACACTCGTGGGTTGCCTCCCACGCATCGTCTGATTTAACGTCGCGACACGACGCAAGCATTTGATCATCACTCCTCATCTGCGCACTGGGGCTCTCCCAAAGTGATTACCACTCTATCCCCTTTTTCTTCAGCCATGCCAAGGTAATGTTTCAACCTTTGCCCATTTACTGTGAACTTGTTTGTCCCATTTTCTGATTCAATCTCTATAGCTCCACTCAAGAACAATTGCACCACTCTGAAGGGTCCTGACCATCGGGACTTTAACTTACTTGGGAACAATCTCAATCTCGAGTTGTATAACAACACTAGATCTCCGGGTTTGAAGTTTCGATCCAAGATGTGCTTATCATGCATTAATTTCATCCTTTCTTTGTATAATCTAGCACTCTCAAAGGCCTGGAACCTGAATTCCTCTAGCTCATGTAACCTAGTGATTCTGTTAGTACCTGCTGTCTCCATGTCTAAGTTTAACTGTCGCAATGCCCAAAGTGCTTTATGCTCTAGCTTAACTGGGAGGTGGCATGCCTTTCCAAATACCAACTTGTACGATGACTTACCAATTGGGGTTTTGAAGGTTGTGCGGTATGCCCACAATGCATCATCCAATTTCTTTGCCCAGTCAGTCCTTGTTGCATTCACTGTTTTTGTGAGGACACTTTTAATCTCCCTGTTGGACACTTCAACTAGCCCGCTCGATTATGGGTGGTACGGGGTGGTCACTTTATGACGAACTGCATATTTTTTCAACAGCCGTGCGAATGCTCTATTGCAGAAATGGGTTCCACTATCACTGAGTATAGCTCTTGGGGTACCAAAACGCGTGAAAATGTTCTTCTTTAGAAAGCCTAGTACCCCCTTGGCATCATTGGTCAGGAGAGCCACTACTTCGACCCACTTGGAGACATAGTCAACTGCTACCAATATGTACTTGTTACCATACGAGCTGACGAATGGCCCCATGAAGTCAATCCCCTACATGTCAAAAATCTCCACCTCTTGAATCGTGGTCATTGGCATCTCGTGTCTACGAGATATGTTGCCAGTTCTTTGGCATTCATCGCAGATTTTAACCCAAGAATGGGCATCCTTGAATAGAGTAGGCCAGTACAAGCCTGACTCCAACACCTTAGCTGCTGTCCGAATTCCTCCAAAGTGTCCACCATATGGTGAAGCATGGCAAGCCTGCAAAACAGAATGTTGATCTTTCTCGGGGATACACCGCCGGATCATGTTATCTACACATACTTTAAACAATAGAGGTTCATCCCAATAGTAATGCCGACAATCACAAAAGAACTTTTTCTTTTGAATTGAGGAGAGTTCATAAGGTACAATACCACTTGCTAAATAATTAGCAATATCAGCATACCAAGGTGCCTCCTCCATTGTCATTGCCAGTAGTTGTTCATCCGGGAATGTCTCTGTTATATCCTCAACCTCTACCTTCTTTTCAGCTCCTTCCAACCTTGAAAGGTGGTCAGCTACTTGGTTCTCTGTCCCTTTTTGGTCACGTATTTCCAGATCGAATTCTTGTAACAGAAGAACCCAACGAATCAAGCGTGGCTTTGACTCCTTCTTTTCTATCAGGTACCTAATTCCTGCATGGTCAGTGTAAACAATAACTTTCTAGCCAATCAAGTATGACCTGAATTTGTCGAATGCAAAAACAACAACCAACATCTCCTTTTCTGTCACAGTGTAATTGAGTTGTGCACCGCTCAGCGTTCTGCTTGCATAATAAATTGGGTGCATTATTTTACCCTATCGCTGCCCCAAGACTGCTCCTATGGCGTAGTCACTTGCGTCGCACATGAGCTCAAATGGTTGCTCCCAGTTGGGTGCAACAATGATGGGTGCAGTCACCAATCTCTTCTTCAGCTCCTCAAATGCCAACCTGCAATCATTAGAAAACACAAAGGGGTGATCCTTTTCAAGGAGTTTGCATAATGGGTTAGCAATTTTGGAGAAATCTTTTATGAATCGCCTGTAGAACCCGGCGTGCCCAAGAAAATTTCTCACCGCCTTGACTGAAGTGGGCGATGGTAGTTTTTCAATCACGTCAACCTTAGCATGGTCAACCTCAATTCCTTTACTGGACACTCGATGTCCTAGAACTATGCCTTCCTGTACCATAAAATGGCACTTCTCCCAGTTCAACACTAAATTTGTCTTCACACATCTTTTGAGCACTCTTCTTAAGTTGTGAAGACAATCCTCGAATGAATCTCCCACCACGGAGAAATCATCCATAAAAACCTCCATAATATCCTCCACCATGTCTGTGAAAATGGCTAACATGCACCGTTGAAATGTCGTCGGTGCATTATAAAGCCCAAAAGGCATTCTCCGAAAGGAGAAGATGCCATATAGACAAGTGAAGGATGTTTTCTCTCTATTTTCAAGGGCTATTGATATCTGATTGCACCCCGAATATCCATCCAAGAAACAGAAGTGTGAGCGCCTGGCCAGCCTGTCCAATATTTGGTCAATGAAAGGCAAGGGGAAGTGATCCTTCCGGGTGGCTGTGTTCAATTTTCGGTAATCCATGCAAATCCGCCATCCCGTGACTATACGAGTTGAGATCAACTCATTGTTCTCATTTTTCACAACAGTCATTCCCCTCTTTTTCGGCATACATTGGACAGGGCTAACCCAATTGCTATCAGAGATGGGGAAGATGATTCCTGCATCTAACCATTTGATCACTTCCTTCTTTACTACCTCTTTAATGTTCGGGTTCAGCCTCCGTTGATGTTCTCTGGAAGGTTTTTGCCCTTCTTCCAAGAGAATCTTATGCATACAGAAGGCTGGGCTGATACCCTTTATGTCTGCCATGGTCCAGCCAATGGCAGTCTTGCTTTCCTGCAGTACCTGTAAGAGCTGTTCTACCTGCACATCTAACAAACTGGATGATATAATAAGAGACAAAGTAGAATCAGGGCCTAAGAAAACGTACCTGAGGTGAGCTGGAAGCGGCTTCAGCTCCAACTTGGGTGGTTCCTCTACCGATGGCTTTGCTGGAGGTGTAGCCCTTTTTTCTAACTCAAGGGGCTCGAACTGAGGTTCCCTTTTCCAGAATCCTTGGCCTTCAAGTGCCATGACCCACTCAGCCAATCTTTCACCATCCATTTCTTCTAAATTTGTCAGACATGCCTCCAATGGATCTTTAGCAGTCAGGGTCATATCATCTTCTTGCAGGATCACATCCACTGCCTCCACTAGAGAGCAATTAACATATTCACTAGGTCTCCTCATAGATTGCTGAACATTGAATATGACTTCTTCATCGTTCAGTCTCATTTTTAATTCCCCAGTCTCACAATCGATCAGGGCTCTCCCAGTGGCCAAAAATGGCCTACCTAAAATGATAGGTATCTCCTCATCTACCTGACAATCCAGAATAACAAAGTCTGCAGGGAACACGGACTTCTCCACTTGCACCAACACATCATCAAGAATCCCAGTAGGCCTTTTTACCATGCGGTCAGCTAGTTGCAGCAGCATCGAAGTCGGTCTAGCTCTGCCAATGCCTAGTCTGGTGTATACAGCCAGAGGCATCAAATTTATGCTGGCTCCCAAATCACATAATGCCTTTGCAAAGGCGTAACTCCCAATCATGCATAGAATAGTGAAGCTACCCGGGTCGGACATCTTTTGAGCCATCGGTCTGGTCACTACTGCGCTGCAAGTCTGCATCAGAGTCATTGTGGATAGGTCCTGAAAATCAAACTTCCGTGACATTAGGTCTTTCATCATCTTTGCATAACCTGTCATCTCCCTCAAGGCATCCATCAAAGGAATATTCAGCTGAATTTGACGCAGCATCTCCATGAATTTCTTGTATTGATCTTCCTTCTTTTGTTTTACCAGTCTCTGAGGAAATGGTGCAGGTATCACACTTTGTTCACTGCTTGCTGGCTTCTCTCTGTTGGGGTTCTGTGGCACAAGAGGCACCACCTGTTCTGCAACTTGTTCATTTACCTTAGCCCTACCCTTATCTTGACCCTGTTCAACTACCACTTCAGTCAGATTTGTTAGTTCATCTACCTCTAGTAGAATTGGAGTGGATGGCGTAGTCTCTTTGCTGGCTTGTGCAACCTCCTGCTCTTTGTCTAAATCTCTCCCATTCCGAAGACTTACTGCCATCAGTGATTCAGGTTTTGCTCTTTGGGGTTAATATTTGTATCCGCTGGCAATGTTCCCTGGGGGCGATTGTTTAAAGCCATAGACAACTGCCCCAACTAAGTTTCAATGTTCTTTATAGCTGAGTCATGTACTGCCAACCTTTCTTGCATCTTACCATTTGCCCCAATGAGTTGCTGGAGCATCCCCCTGATCTCTACCATGTTGTTATCTTGCTGCTAAGGAGGTAGCTGATATGTCAACTGTTGCTGGTTCTGCTGTGGGTAGCCCTATTGTCTTTGGTGGTATGGCACTATTTGGCCTTGATCTTACATGCCCCCAGGCTGAGGCATGTTGGGTCTGTATTGCTGATTTGGTGCGGGTCTCCATTGTTGTCCTCCTTGTCTCTGACCCCCAAAGTTGTTAACATAATTCATATCTTCCCTTGCTCCTTGATTTTCACCTTCTCCGCTCCATGAACACACATAAGACTGATTAACACAGGGTGTGCACAGTCCTCCATTTGTCGTTTCAACAATATGCACTTGTTTGGTACCCATCTCATCTATCTTCTTTGTCAAAATACTCATTTGAGTCATGAGTGTGGCCATGTTCTCTGCCTGCGAATTATTTGGGTCAAGAGGCACTGAATGCACTATAGGTGCCAGTGTTGTACCTCTAGTCATCCACCCTGAATTCTGGGACATCTTGTCAAGAAGGACTTTTCACTCGGTGAATGTCTTACTCAAAAATGCACCTCCAGCTGAAGCATCCACATTGGCCTTTAGATTGTCAGCTAATCCCATGTAGAATCTCTGGCCAAGCATCTGGTCTGGGATGCCATGGTGTGGACACTTCACCAACATCCCTTTAAATCTTTCCCAAGTTTCTTGCAAGGTTTCAGTCGGCTGCTGCTTGTACTGCAATATTTCATCAATCTGCCTTGTAGTCTTGTTGGGCGGGTAGAACTTATTCAAAAACTGCTTTACTAATTCCTCCCAAGTGACAATGGAATTGATTGGGAGCGAATTCATCCAAGTCTGAGCTTCCCCAGTCACAGAGAACGGGAACAGTAATATCTTGATAGCTTTTGGGGTCACATTTGGTTGCCTTTGAACACAAATTGACAGAAAAATTTTCAAATGTTGCTGAGGGTCTTCAATGTGTGACCCGGAAAACAGTCCTTTATTCTGTAGCAGATGTAGCATGTTGTTGGTGATCTGGAATGTCTCCGCTTGAATTGCAGACACAACTATGGCAGTTGCCAGGTTGTCAACTGTGGGTTGAGCCCAATCATAAAGTGCAGCTTCTGGCACAAGAGGTGCCACCACTCTAACGTTTGGGTCAGCTGGATCAATCCTGATGTTTCCGTTGACGTTCTCTACGTCACCCATGTCAAATTCAAGCTGGTGTAGTTGTTGTGATTGTTGGATCCTCCTGTTGGCACGGTTCAATGCCCTGAATATTTTCTCGGGGTCTGAAAGTCCTTCAAGCAGTTCTCTAGTCCTCGAAGAATTTCTAGGCATACACCTGAATCCCACAAGAGTTCAAACGTTAGAATTTCAATGAAAATTGTTTAACACCTTTGAAAATTGATTTGAACTAATAATTTTTAACACTACTTCTAAGTTGTAATAAATAACACCATTAGCTCCCCGACAGCGGCGCCAAAATTTGATAACGCCTAACTATGCCTTTCAAAGGACAAAGCAGTCGCTGCAAATATAATCCGATTTTAAGTCCGGAATCGAATCCTCAGGGAACTAACCTATCTATTACACTCTTCGGTAATGTTATTATCAACTCAATTAATATCTAGATGCAAGATTTTTGATCAATAAAGATTGATTTTTTTTTGTATAACTACTTCAACTACTATTAAAAACAACAGTAAGCTAAAACAAAGAGAATTCAATGGTAAAGAGGTCTAGGGCAGTGATTTTCCCAATTGCTAGTTTAGGTCTTGAGTCTTCCGCTATAATCTCGCCGTAATACTCTATGAGGATTAAGAGTTATGGGCTATCTTAATTATCTCTCAATCAACTACAATAATTTACTAGAGCATTCTCTCGAACTACTCTAGCTGACAATGGGTATGCAACTCTAAATTATTCCACCTAAGTTTTGTTATCTCTAAACCCACTTTTAAGTTCAAGTAATGAATCTCTTCAATTACCCAAAAGTGGTGTTGTTCAACAACTATCTAACCTATATTCTTTTTCAAGCCATATAAGGTAATTAGACACGATTAATCAAGGGCCCATTCAATTAATCACCATACAAAACATAGTTGAACAATCATATCATAAATCTGGCTCGATTATAACAACTTGAGTCAAAACTGCAACCAACAATTGGTTCCATCAACCCTAGATAAATGTTTAGCTACTCATAACAAAATAAGAAATAACTACTAAATTATTCATAATGTAAAATTGCAAGAATTAAAAGGAGATAGAAAAATTCTAATGTTTGGTTGATCTTCTCACACTTGTTCTTCCTCCAAAAGTAGTCTAAAATTAGATTGTTTTTTTTTTCAGTTGGGCGAGCTTCTAAAGCTTATAAGGGATTTACAAAAGTTTCCCCAAAATTATACTTTGGTCCTCAAACTTCCAGCTGCGTGAACAGTGCACCGCGTTCGCGGCCAACCGCGGTGAACGCCAACCTTTCTGCCTCACTTCACTAATATGCCGCGGTGCCACCGCGGTCACGGTGGCCTTCTTGCCCAGGCCATCTATGCTTCTTTGTGTTCGGGTACTTCTCGAGTGGGTGTTTTTCTTCACATTATCGCCTCCAAAACACTCCATATTGCTTCCTCTCATATAATATTCCTTGCTAAACAAAAGAATACTATTTAGAGCATTTTGTTGGCAAATTATCTATAAAACAACAACAAAGTATGGTCCTATAAAGGTGTAAATATCGACTATATAGCCTACTATCAGTGTTCATAGTTCGGTTTGAATCGGGTTTTTTCCTAAAAAGAAACCAAACCAAGTCGGTTTTTCAAATATTAGAACCAAACCAAACCAAACCAATTAAGTCGGTTTTTTCTCGATTCGGTTTATGTCGGTTTTTCGGTTATTTGTCGGTTTTTTCTTAAATATAAGACATATACTACCAAACACACATTTCGGCGATCACATTTTCAACGTAACACTATCATATCAATTGCCCTTTGAGAAATCTGTTATTTACCAAGATATATTGATGATAATTGAATCAAATAGTGATGAATAATTTAAGGACTCAATTAAAAATATATTATTTTTAATATGAAATAGATTCTCACACTTAACAAAAGAAAACTACCAACTAAACTAGAATGTAAAGGTAAAAAACTATACTAAAAGTGCAAACAATTAATATTTACGATAAAAAATTTAAAACTTTGTATAAAAGTATACATATATATAGGTGTAATAATAAATTTAATATAGCTACTCCTATATTCGGTTTGGTTCGATATTTTTTTAGTTAAAATCAAAACCAAACTAAATTTGATCAGTTTTTAAATTTAAAAACCTAAACCAAACTAAACCAAAAAGTATCGGACTTTTTGGTCGGTTTGGTTTGATTTTTGGTTTGGTTCGGGTTTTTGGATTTTTATGAACACCCCTAGAGGACATATGAGAATTTATGAAAAAGTCACAACTGTCACCACAAAATAGTATACCTACATGCCTTCATTTACATTATTTTTTGACCGGAAGATCAAAAGCTAATTAAAAGACATTGGACTATTTGGATTCATACTTCGTGAAATGGTTCATGCATGTTTGTTATCAAGAGCAACAAGATCAAGTTGGTAAGAATAAAATTTGCAAAGCTTCCATAACTTCAATTTCACAAACTAGGGTCATTCAGTTGCAAAGCCAGATATCTTAGAATTAAAAATCTCAGGATTATAATCCAGAGATAGTTAATTCCACATCTAATATGTAATAGTTAATACCACTATTTTAGTATAAAATAAATATTGTATTAGCTAATACTCATAACTAAATATAATATCAAATTCTAACCTGAATTTATAATCCTAATCCCGGTAACCAAATGATCCTAATATTATAGCTTGTTTGGCCTAGCTTCTCCAAACCTAGAAGCAATTTTTTTCAAAAAAATAATGTTTTATTTTCAAAGATGAAGTGTTTGGCCAAGGTTTTGGAAGAAGAAAATATTTTTTAAGGAGAAGTAGAAGAAATTTTGGAGAAGCAGAAAAAAATAGCTTCTCGCCAAAAATACTTTTTTGGAAAGCATTTTTGAGAAAATACATTTGTAAGTACTTTTTAAAAATTTGACGAAACACATGCTGCTCCGAAGTACTTTTTAAATTAACTAGTATCTATGAATATGCGTTGCACGTTAATAACGGTACATGATAGTTTATATATTTATTTATATGAAGGAATAATAAAATTTATCTAATGAGAGAAATTTTATGCATAATAATACAACTCATCTAAATATCGAAGAAATATTATTACATAAGCATAATGCGTGAATTCAAAATGAAAGGGCATTATCAGAACTTACACAAATGATCAATTTAGTCAAGTTAGTTAGATAATTATGTATTATAGCTTAAAAGTATTTAATATGATGGTATCTTACCGAACACTTCTTTGTAGACGATATTATTATGTATGTTTTCTTCTAATGCTTTGGTTGCTCTGCCATAACCAGAACTTTTGTTGTCGATATTGATATCCTTTTTGAGTACAATAATGTTGTTCGTGCAAGAAAATATATTGCGATAAATATAGTCCAATATTTAGGATGTTTGTCCTTGTCCTTTATTTATTGTAATTGCAAAACATAAACATACTGAAAATTATTTTCACATAAATTTAAAATGATATTCTTTACTTTCTGAAGACGAAAGTTGAATTCGGAGATAAACACATACTTATAAGCATATTGACCAGTATAATAATTCTTGTATGTATGACGTTATTGTCAAAACTTTTATATACCATATGTGTGCTATTACATAACCTATTTGGTGGATCTAAGTGTTTAGTAGCATGACAAGCATATTTTTCTTTAAAATCAATCTATATGCAATGAAAAATCAGTTTTAACTTAGTCTATTGTATATATAGTGACACTAATATACATAAAAAATAATCAACTTGACAACAAATATGTATGGTAGAAGGTCATTTGGTATTAAGTATTTTTCTTGATATTAATTGTTGGTATCATCTTCTGTTGAGTCAAATATTGAAAAACATTTCGTTTTTACCATGAAACTTAACAATCAACCTTTTATTTAGTTGATCAACATATTCATTTTTGCTAGCTAAGATATCTCTTTAATCTCTATCATATAATTTGCACGAATTACGTTTTAATATAATGATGGAAATATTTCCCTATTAAATGCATTACTCTTACCATTGGAGTTGATAACAAAATATTCTAGAAGAACAAAATCATCTTTTATTGGATACTCTTCTTCGTTTCCAACGCGAAGCAAGAAGTCATTGAATGTTGGATATATATATATTTCTTGTCAGTTGAATCTTTTTTATTTGAGTCCATAAGTATAATTTTGGCAAGTTAGCTTTTGCAGACTCTACTTTCGTCGATTTTGAAACTACTGGTAGTACTTGAAAGAAATCACCTCCCAAACCATTATTTTTCTGCCAAATGGTTCATTGATATCTAATATATCTCTAAATTCTAGTCAATTGTTTCGATCAGTTGACGCTTAGCTGTAAGCGCTTCATCTTATATTATCAATTTTGTTTTCCTTATAAATTTAGTACCATTGTGTTGCTTTGATATATTTGTGATGGTTATTTCAGTTCTTTGAAGAGGTATATCAAATCTAAAGTGACTTGTATGATCTCATAATAAAATCGATGTTGGTACACCGCTTATTATTATTGCTAATAGTATCTTGATCTAATATTTGCAAGTAATGCATGACATAAGAATATTATTTCGATTCTGCTCGAGGCATCTACAAAGGATAATCCCGCTATAGCTGAGTCGACTCTTTATAATATTGTCTTGAAAGTTTATTTTTGTTTAGGATTTAGTTTTGATTGTGCTTCCTCGGACACTTTTATGACCTTTTGATTCTTAATACTATACTGGACATTTTTTTTACTTTGTGTTCTAATTTTTTTAATGTCTAACACTATTTCTATGGAATAAATTTATGTACCCTAAGATTTTTTTATAACTTGAAAAATTATTTTACTCAAATGAATTTAAAAAATAATTGAATTGGATCTCTTGCTAAATAATTAATTGAAAGATTAAATTATTGGATCTTAACATAAAAAATAGTTTATTTAATGTTGATTCATATTCTTATTATTGGTACATCTCTTGTTTTGAATATTTAACCGTAATTATAATTTATTCATTATAATTTTTTTTAAAGAGTAAAAAGATCGATCTAACATTTCACTTTTAGATCTTTATGTTTGCAAAATCATTATTGGTATTAATTCTTATTAACTATTTTTCTTTCTCTTTCTCACACATTTATATTCTTCAATATTTTTTAGTTATTTTTTTAATAATTGGGTATATTTTCAATATTACCCAAAAATTGATAATAATAAAATATTATTTGAGTAGCAAATTAGTTCAAATATATTATAAAAAGATATTATCGTGGGAATATTTTTTTTCTCAATTTTAACGCTTTATTCAATTCATTTAACATTACTTCTATTTTTTGGGTATTAGACATTATAGAGTGGTAATATATTGCAAATACGGAGGATTCTTATAAAATTAATTTTATTAAATCTTCCTATATATTTTTAATAAGAATTTAATAGGAAATATTTTATTAATTTTAAAATCTTAAATATTTATTAAAAAAATTCATATAGAAGGTATTGTAGTCCAAAACAAATAAGTTATTACTGATGTCTTTTCCCTATGAGTCTTCTGTTTAATATTTTAGGGATATTTTGGTTTATCAATATTGTATTTGTACTTTTCTAATAATATATAAACTCTTTTTTTTCTAAATGAATTTGGACAATATAATACATTCTCAAATTAAATTAGTAATAGGACAATATAATACGTTTTCAAATTAAATTAGTAATAGAATGTTTTAAGAAGTATATCCTAAACGTAATGGGATTACATGGCTAAAAATACGTCTCTATCCGGAAATTATTAATAGAAAATTTAACATGTTTCTAGAGGTATTAGGTTTACATGCTAACATATAGTATTATATGTCTATGCCCTGAAGTAATTGTACTATAATAAGATTTCTAAAGGTAATCATGTAGGATTCTTAACGTGTAGTATTATGCCCAATAATTAATAGGATTATAAGGTTAATATCTAGAATTCCTATTATGTCCTTATATTGTGAATTATTATGGTTAATATTACTTATAAGTTTATTTTTGTAAATCAACATTATATTCATACTTTTATAATAATATATATATAGAAAATATAGATATAGATAGATAGATAGATATAGATATAACATGTCATTGTTTACTTTTATATTTTATAGCAAAATAGATCAAGTCGCAAGTGCATGATACACAATTTAATGCCTATTATACGTAAAAATTGTATTTACCATAAGTCCTCTTTTTAGTGATTTTATTTTTTATTTTAGGATATGCAATTCTCTAGAGACTTAAATCTTTTTTCAATTTAATGTGCACTTTTGATTTTTAAAATTTTGAAGCGAAGTTTTACAACATATATTATGTTGACTTTTTGTGTCACTTTGAGTGGGAGGAACATTGTCATGTGAAAGGTAGCCAAATCTTTTTCTAATTCAAAGTTCTTATTCGTATGTCCTTCAAAATATATGATCTACTTGAAAATTTGAGTGACATTTTCAAACATAGATATATTAGTGTTAGTTAAACCAAGACTGCAGTTTTTAAGAGAAATTTTCATAAATCACTATTTTTTAGTATTAATTAGTCATCTATAGATACCATTTGCTATAAAACGGATTACAGATACCTTTTGTGTGGTTATAAGATGTATTTGATGTATTTAAGCTATTCTATTCATGAATACAGTAACAAAAATAGGCATGAATCAGGGAACTCCAGCCAATCAGTTGTTGTATTCGAGTGTATTCGATTGTATTCATGGAGTGAAATATGAGATTACAACTGGACAAATTATTATATTCAACTGTATTCGACTGTATTCACGACGTGAAATAGGGGATTACACTGTTTTTAAAATGGAAAGTGAATCAATTAACATAATAGATTCCTAATATAACTCAACAAACTCAATTATAACACACAAATTTTGTATTTTCAGTTACAAAAAAAATTCACATCCGAAAAATACCAAAAAAATATAGCAATCTTTAGAGAAATTATATAATACATCTGAATACATAAATTATATTAATTAAAAAAAATATATGAATACATTCATGGCATATAGCGAGGCAGTGAATACAATGAAATACATATAATACAGCGAGATACATTGAAATACAATGAAAAAAAAGACAGTGAATACAATGAAATACATGGAATACAACGAGATACATTGAATTACAATGAAAAAAAAGACAATGAATACAATGAAATACATGAAAATACATTGAAATATATTAACAGAAAATCAAGTTGCTCAGCCCCAAACTCCGTCGTCTTTGTTCAAGAACAAACCCTAATTTCCGGCGAATCCGCCGTTCACCGAAAGCCGGTAGTGAAAACGCGCCGCCTTGGTCCGGCGATGCCGGAGCCGAGGTCACTTCCTGAGCAGAAGCAACCGCCGATACGCAAATCAAAACCCTTCTTTCATGACTTTTGCATAGCTTTTTGTACGTGTACCCATGTGTGTGGTCTCTTCGCATAAATTAAATGAATAGATAGTCACGGGGACCGGCAGTAGTGATAACTGAATCAGTCCTATGAACAGTTCCAAACCTGTAACTGACATTCAAATTGGAAATCAAGGTGGGGTGTCAGATCCTTCAAGATATTCTAAGAATTGAACATACCATAGATCCACACTTCTTTATACCCAAGTGTTTGGGACATAGATCACCACCAATACAATCTCCTTGTACGGATGCTCACCAACCTAGATAACTCGTCATTTAGACATTCAAACATGGAGAAAGAGGCGGAGAGAGAGATGAGATAACCATGGAGAAATACTGGCGTTGAGAGAGAAAGAGGGTGAAGAAAAATCTAAAAAAATGAGAGAGAAAAATAATACAAAGAGTATTTTATGGCTTAAGAGTAGGAGGTAACCATAAATAGATATTTGTCTATAAAAATCAAAAGGTATCTATATAATATAATTTTTTAAAAGAGTATTTATTTAAAATAAACAAGGTATCAACCTTTGCTATAGGAGGTAAAAATTCTTTTTTTTAATGAATTCGAAGTCCTAAAACTCCAACCGAAATTTATGGGAAAAGTAAATTTAATATTTTAGGAATATTTTTGTATACTAATACATTGAGATATCCTTAAACTAATAGGATTACAAGGCTAATGTCTAGAATTTCAGTTATATCCTTTCATTGTGAGTTAGTATGCTTAATATTATAAGGTTATTTTTATAAACCAATATTTTATTCATGCTTTTATAATAATATAGATAGGTACAGATATAGATTGATAAATTAACCAAATACAAACTAAGCTAAAAATATTTTTGAAAAAAAATAAAACAAAAAGCAGTTACTATCACATTTCAACTGTGACAGTGTACTTTGCAATCGCCGGAAAATTGCGCGATGATGACGGAAGCAAATAGGCTACCGGCGGAAGAAATCACAAACACGGCGACATCTGTAACGGCAGTAGAGGAACTATTGAAGTATCGGTTCAAGAACACGAAGCTTCTAGAAGAAGCTCTAACTCACACTTCCTGTAATTCTTCTTCAGCTTCTAATAATTACCAGCGGCTCGCTTTCGTCGGCGATGCAGCTCTCGGCTTAGCCATTTCCAGTTATTTCTTCTCGGTTTACCCTGACGTCGACTGCGGTAAGCTCACTGACCTCCGCGCCGCCAACGTCAGCACCGAAAAGCTCGCTAGAGTCGCCGTCCGCCACGGTCTCTACAACTACCTCCGCCGCAATTCACCGATCCTCGATGAAAAGGTACATTATAATCATTTAAAAAGTGTTCACTCCCTTTATTTTCATTTTATTAATTATTATTCTTAGTTTGACTGGGCATAGGTTTAAAAATGTTAAAAAGTTTTTGAATCTTATGCTCTTAAACCAAATGTGTGTATAGGTCACGTCATTCCACAAGGAGTGTCATTAAGGAAATGAGAATATTGGAATTAAAAGTTACTACTATATATAGAAATGTTACATTCTTCTCAAAATAGACTAAAAGGGAAGTATGATACGTAAATTGAAACAAAAAAAATAAGTTATATGCATAATGTAGTTAGCATCTTATAAAGAGTGTATAGAAATTAAAACTTTTTAAAAAACTTTTAACAAATCCACCTAGTGATGGTAGGGCTCAGACATTGTTTAGGGGGTAATTTATGCATTTCCTTCAAAATTTAAATACATGAAGGAAGGAAGCATGGCACTTTACCTCTTCCTATTATAAAAGAAGGGTAGACATGCCTTCCCCATGCTTTAAGGTCTTTAGATATGTTTGTGTGTGGGTAGATGAGTGCTCAAAGTACCGTTAAACTATCTAAGTTGTGAGGACTCCTCCACTTTACAAAGTAGCTAGCTTTACAAAAGTAAAACAATGTAGAAAACTAACAACTTGGGGGAACTCCTCCCAATTACTATATGGATATAAAACCAAGTTTCCAAAAATTTTAGTCCTTTGGTTTGGATTGTCTAGTTTTGAAATTGGGCTGTTGCATCTTGTCCAATATGTATGACCTTTTTGCTTCTTTATGCAAGTATTCAAACCTTGAAAGCTGTACTTGTTTTAGATTGTGAAGATTCCAGTTAGCCGTAGCATATGGCACTTCATTTGTCTTCGGTAGCAGTGTCATTGCGCATTTCCTTGGCACAAGATCCATCGAACTAAGTACAATAGTTCTTTTGCGGAATTGTAATAGAGGGACTTTGAATTTGGGCATAGGTGAAGGAATTCGTGATAACAGTGCAACAAGAGGCGGAGATGGAGTTCTATGGAGGAATGATGAAAGCGCCAAAAATTCTTGCAGACATTGTGGAGTCGGTCATGGGGGCTGTATATGTGGATTGTGGCTTCGATGTGAATGCTTTCTGGGTGGTCAGTCTCTTTCTTACTATTTAAGTTTGTGCTGGCCATGGATCTTGTAAAAGCTCTCTTTTCTTTCTGCTTTCTGGATGTAAAAGTATCAATGAAATAATCAACTATGCCTAAAACTGAAATAGTTAGGTTGGCTATGCTCATTCTCTATATTTATTTCTCTGGATTTCTAGTATAGCTTGAAAATTAAATTATGTGGAATTAAAGAATTGCGTATCGCAGGCTTGTTGGCTATTAATAAGTGCTTGCGATTTACAGCCTCAGTGTTAGTACACAAGGGGTTTTAGCTGTTATTTATCGAACATGTTTCCAGGAAAAGCTAGTTATCTTTGTACCTTTGCATCGAACTGACTCAAGCCATACTCCTGTTTTATATTTGGTTATTTTGCTGCAGGCAGGAGTAGTCATTACACTTGTCAATTTTCAGAGGCAAAACCTTTTTCATATAGAAATGCTTTTTATGTGTCATTCTCCAATGTTGAAAGAAATGATTAAGATGTATTCCTAAAACAAGAATTTTAGTTGTAATTCTTTTGGGTGTTTTATTAAAACTCTTATCCGTGCAATTAAATTTTGTGCTGGTATTTGGAATGTCATGTTATGTTTGTTTTGATGTATGATTACTCATTTGAATTAGCAAGGTTTTAAAGTGTGTGTGTGTGAGAGCGGGGGGTTGCTAGTTGAAATTTGAATTTATACAGATATTGAGAAATAAAAAGTGAGTTTACATGAAGAAGAAGGGCTTGTCATATTTTGGTTTTGTATCATTGGAAATCAAATGGGGAAGGGAAGAAATGATGAGGTATTACATTGTGGAGATTTGGCAATTAATTGAAAATGAAAAATCATGAGAGCCAATTCAAAATTTGAGCGGTTAACGTTTTAGCTTCCACCTGCCCCCACATCAGTAAACAGATGCAGCATTTCTTTCTGTCCTCCAATAGTAGACTTATTTCAGAGATTTCATCAAGGTCTTACGAATTCAGTTTTATTTTCTTTACCTAAAAATGGTCCATTCTTGCCTTTCAAATAGAAATGATTTCGTGATGTTTAGATTATTTAGTTGCCTTTTTGTGTTAGATCTTTAGAGGCCTACTTGAGCCTATCATCATGCTGAATATGTTGAAAGAACAACCACAGCCTGTAACTATGCTATTTGGACTTTGCAAAAAGGATGGAAAACAAGTTGAGGTAGAACATCGGAAAGAGGGAGATAAAAACATTGCTAGCGTCTATGTTGATGGACAATTTGTTGCATCAGCTTCTTCTGAGCACAAAGAGAATGCAAAGCTTCAAGTTGCAAAGGCTGCTCTTAAAGAGTTGTTCTATGACCCTTATGATGAGATGGATGTTGAATTTGTCCCATCTCAGAAAAAAAAGACAAATGTTGAATTTGCTCCATTTCAGAAAATAAAGATGGATGTCGAATTTGACCCAACAAAAGAGAGTGAAGGGGCAAAGCAGAAACTGAATGAGCTTTGTGGAAGAAAGAAATGGTCCAAACCAAGTTACAGGTTAACCTTTTACTTTGAGTGTAGTTGTTCTCATGAGTGAACTTAGTGCCATTTTTGTCAGATATACGTCCGGTGGAAAAAGTTAGTGCTCATTGCACTTGTACTGAATCTGTAGCTGCAAGCACAAATTAGATTATCAAGTTTAACGTGCTTAACATGTTGTACCAGGGAATCCTAGTACTATATTCTTAATGTTCTCTGTATATCTCTATCATTTCAGTATTGGAAATTAGGGCAAGAGATTGTTGCCGTATGATCAAACTGTGACTTGATATTGAGCTGTGAAACTACCAATTTTCTCTACTAGAAATAACTTTAAGGTTTGATTGCATGGAATGGGTTAACAGAAATCTTATATAAGAGCACCAAGACAGATTTAGAATTATGTCATTCATCAACGTACTAACATATATGCTGCTTATACTTTTTGGACGGACTGCATAAAATGAATTTATGATCAAGTATTGCTTTATAAATATATCTTGAAATGTCTGAGGTTTAATATTTTGAGAAAATTTTACTTTTGAGACTTCTCCATATAAAATGGATTGTTTGGACTAGCATCAGGGTGCATGCCGTTTCATACAGGAAAGATCTTCATTTGGCAATTCTTTCTGAGGTTGTTTGTCTCAGTATCCAGCTGCCATGTTTTTCTGTTTCTGTTGCAGTCACATATAAATGTATGAATTTGGTCTCATTAATATTTGCTTCCTGATGGTTGCAGAATAGAGAAAGAGATAGGTCCTGCTCACCATAGGAGCTTTACATGCTCTGTGCAAGTTTCAATTGGTGAAAATGTGTTTTCTGTGACGGGAGACGAGAAGTCACGAGTAAAAGATGCAGAGAATTCAGCAGCTTTAGCAATGATTCAGGGTTTGCAAGAATCCGAGGTCAGTTAATTATACATATCCCATGTTCCATTTCTGGATGAAGCAGACAGCACAAAGAGGAATGTATTCAGGTTCTATGTCGATGGTGGAGTAGTCATCTTTGGTTGCTGCAAAGTGAATATATATTCAGGTTCTTTGTCGATGGTGCAATAATCATCTCTGGTTGCCGCAAAGTGAATATATATCCAGGTTCTTTGCCAATGGTGCAATAATCATCTTTGGTTGCCGCAAAGTGAATGTATATATATCCAGGTTCTTTGCCGATGGTGCAACACTCATCTTTTGATGCTGCAAAGTGAATATTGGTTGAAATATTGTCATAAGTCTACTTGGAAAATATACAACAGTAGAGTGCGCATCACTTATTACGTGATAATGCAAAAGACATCAGCACCTACCACAGCAGACTGAGCTCTGGCCAATTCAGGTTAGAAATTTAGCACGTAGTTTTGTGTACATATTAAATACCTTATATGTACATGAGCCCCGCTGTTGCCCAAGAAATGCAGCATACATTCCTATTTGCAGCAGGATTACATGACCTATTAAGTGGACAAGTTTTCCCATGTTAATATGATTTGGTGCATAGTGTGTGCTAGTAAATTTTACCCGACTATTTCATGACCTCCTATTAGTTAAGGGATGGGGGTTGTAAAAGGGATACAAGGGTTTTGGTTAAAATTTGGACAAATGGCCTATCGAAAACAACATCTCTACCTTCCCAAGGTAGGGGTAAGACTGCATACACTCTGCCCTCCCCACACCTCACTTTCGGGAATTCACTGTGTTGTTGTTGTTGTTTGGACAAATGGCAACAAATCATGCTGATCTATTCATTCTTTTGTCTGGAAATAAGGACAAATGTAAACCATTTCGATAATGGCAAAGACACATCTGACCTAAACCCTAAAACTTAAACCATGAACAATTTCATATAATTCAACGACAATTTTGGCCCTTTTTCCTAAGGTAATATAGTTTGGTGTAAAGATCAGTAAAAACTAAATAACAGTATATATATACAGACATTTTATGTATTCATTGAATAATGTAGGCACCAAATGTGAGCCAACTCAATTGATTCAGTCTAAACTGTGGATTTGTCCAAAGCAGAAAAAAGTTGTTCAACTTTTACAATGAAAAGAACATTCAGAGAGGAATATGACAAGAACATTCCAAGCATTTAGTCTAAAAGTGAATTAGTCTAATGGCAGGTGGGGCTACTTTTGATATGATATGTACAAATTACAACCAAAAGTTGATGATGTTCTGTTGCTATCAGTATTTGGATCATTATCATTTTACAATTTGTGATAGATACCTTATCTTATCGTACTAATATAGAATTGTAGATTATTGTCAATCAACTTTTAAAGAATCAGATTTAATTCCTCAAAAGTAACCTGATAATGTCTTCAGAAAATTAGCAAAATGAAACATATATACATTTTGCAAAAGTTTGATAAGCAGCTTATCAAGAATGATTTGTCATCGTATTCAGAGGTGTATCAAAATTTTTGAAGTTATAAATGCAAAGTACTATTGTACCACCACTGTTTTTGTGACACCCCAAGCAAATCCCACATCGACAAAACACGGGAGAGATGCTTGATATATAAGTAAACAAGCCTTAGACCCTCATGACTTGTTTTAAAGCCGTGCAGCCTGCAAACCTAGTCCAAAAACGGACAATATCATTAGTGAGTTGGGTTGTTACATATGATATTAGAGGACAAATCTCACATACACCTCAAGCGAATCCCACATCGACAAAACGCAACAGAGATGCTAGGTACATGAGTAAACGACTTTTAAAGTCGTGCAATCCTAGGTTCAAATCGAACAATATCATTATTGGGCTGAACTGTTACAATTTTATTATAATGATTGCACATAAACGTGGAAAAAAGATGCAATCTTTCAAAGTTTTTAACTATACGTGATGTAATGAACAATCACGTATTTTCCTTTCTTTTATAATATGGTAGTGTTGTAGGAGAAACAAATAACAAAGTAAATATCAACACTATATTTTACTACATAAACACACATTCATGAAGTAATTAATTTGTATAACGATATCGACACGCCAAAATGAACACCAGCCGTCTTATAATTGTAGTATTACATATGCCTAGCTAACAAGGCTAATAAAATACATTAAATAATCACAATAGCTTGTCCTTCCAAAATGGATAGAAGTCTCGTCTTCAAATATAACAAGACTCTATCCAAGACCTCTGCTTGTTCTGATACTTGTTGAAGTGTGTAACTATCTCATCTAAAATTTAAGTTATTAGAGAAAACATCTTTTATTTACTTAATTATGTTTTCACCACTATCCTCGACACTACAAGTTTTTAAATATATTTATATTTAATTTACACCCACGTCATAAAAGAGTAGTGGATGCAATGACTCTAGATCCACTTCTAGCTAGATCCGCCCGTTCCTCTGGCAAAAAGAAAAAGAAATATGGCGTATCCTAAGAATTATAATTTTTTTAACGAATCAGAGCGACAAAAGCTGAATCTTAATAGATCATGGCAGCAAGGTTTCTCTATCACTTACAATATCCATCGCGTATTTTTGTCACTTAGCTGCATTGTGATAGAAATCATGAAGTCTCTTCCATGAATCTTCTCTTTGTATCTTTAACTGTTTGTAGAAGTTGCCAATGAATATCTCTGCTTTATGAAATAGCTCCTGCTTAGTAATCTCCCCAAACTCCTCCTTTTCATTAGTATATTTTTCTTGCTTTAAGATCTCTTCCCCTTCATTCTCCTCAGCAGAACTAGTTCCTATGAAAAACAAGCTTGGCATTGAAGGACACTTCTTTACTGCTTCTTGTTGTACTTTTCCAACACCAATTTTTTTCTCCGAAACAGATTTTCCCACCACTTTACAAGTATTATTCTTGGCAATAATGTTAGTAGTCCCACTCCCATATCGGTCGGTGCGATGGCAATTTGTCTCCTTATTTGGTCTAGGACAATGCTCAGCTCTTGAGTTCGTTTTTGAAGTTGAGTTAGGTCCGAAGTCCATTTTCTTATGAGATCGCGAACTCTCCTGGTTCACTATATCATATTTAGCTTTAGGGGCAGTTTCTTGATTATTAGTACTAGTTCCAAGAGGAGAAAATGCCATCATCTCTGGAATGGTAGGCATATTGTTATGTTGTGTTTGGTTGATAATTTTGATTGATGAAGGTTTAATGTTGTGATTTGGAGATTTGGAGAAGAAGGAAATGAGGCCAGCTTCAACTCCTAGTGAAATGATGAGAAGGTGAACAATGAAATAGAGGTATGTAGTTCTTAGTGATGTGGATAATAGAGGGGTGATGATAATAAGGGAAATTATGAGTAAAAGCTTTAGAGCTTGGGAGATTTTGATCATCAATTCCATATGGATTACTTTGATCCTCTTTTGATGAATTTAAAGATGTTGAGAGAGAGTATACCTCGTGACATTAGTTGAGGTATGCGCAAGCTGACCCGAGAACTACGATTATTAAAAATATTGAGAGAGGGCTTGAGAAGATAGTAGGAAAAGAAGTGTGATTTTCAAGTAGAGAAGTGATGGTGGAGGTTTAGAACAACATAGGGGCCAAGTAACTCATATTTATAAGATGAAGAGAGGAAAGAATGTGATAAGCTGGTTGTCTTTATCCAATTCATTCATAATCCTACTAATAAAGTTATTATTGAAAAGGATTTTGTTTATACAGTGAGACATCTCTATAACATCATCCATATATAATAAAAATTTACTATAAAAGCATGTTTTTCTCGGAATCTATTCTTATATATATTATGTTATAATATATATCCTCTGTAACGGCACTTCACTATAGCAGCCAAAAAAATTCGGAACAAACGAGGCTGTTATAGAGAGGTTTGACTGAATAGACATATATGGTGTAATTTATAATTAGGAAGGTAAATAGATTCTTATGTTTGTTGTCTTCTATTTATGATTTAAATGTGAAGATTCAATTTGTAGGGTTCTTAAGTACTCAGAGACCGGATTCAGGATTTGAATTTTATAGGTTTGAGTTCGAAGTTTTATCACAATTCATTTAATTTACTAGGTCTGAAATCTATCTATTTGTACTTAGTGAATTTTTAACATACATACAGAATTTAAACAAAAGCTACTAAGTTTGAATGAATTCATAACTTAATTACCATCTACATCCTGATCCCATATCAGCACTACATTTATTGTACTGTTAAAATTGTAGGTTAATGAACGTTTTGTAACATCTATATAGACAACAACACACACACACACATATATATACAACAACAATATTTATATATATTGCAGCACTAAATTTGTTCTAATAAATACAACATTTTACTGTAAAAATTAAGTTTGTTCGAAACCAATTTTTTATGTCATGTTTTACCTCTTTATAATAACTTTTTTACTATAAATACAATAACCATCTTTTTTGAAAAGTAAGCTCTTTATAATATTACCCCTCTATAACATTCATGTAAATTTCCAAGAACACCTATATAACAAGTCTAGAAATTTTGAAAATATTTAACACTTTAATGTACCACTTTAATAAAGAATATTATGTTAGTACATACTTCTATGGTTAAGGATTTCATTCAATACACAAAAGCCACCATTGGGAGTGGCAAACGGGCGGGTCGGGTCGGGTTGAAAACGGATAATGAAAAAACGGATCGATTATTCGACCCGACCCATATTTAATACGGATAAAAAATGGGTTAACCGACGGATAATATGAGTTACCCATATTATCCATGACTTATTGTATATGATCATTTTTGGGAGAATTCTTAGTCTCTTTAACTTGAGGAACCCCAAATTTGAGGCTTCACAAATGTAAAAGTTAGACTCATTGGTTACTTATTAGTTATCCATTGGTTATCCATTTTCTAAATGGATAATATGGTTCTTATCCATATTTGACCCGTTTTAAAAAAGTTCATTATCCAACCCATTTTTTAGTGGATAATATGGGTGGTTAACTGTTTTCTTTGAACCATTTTGCCACCCCTAGCCATCACCGTGCATGATGCAAATGCATATTTGAAGATATGCATATATCTTCTTCATTGGACAAAGTTTCAATCGTGCATAATGTTTAATTTTTTTTTATCTTTAATATATAACATTAAAAAAGAAATATTGTTTTTGGATAATTTTTATCTATAATAGCCAAATAATATTTAAATATTATATATTGTTATAGATGTATAACAATCATTATCTATAACAATCATTCAATATAAAAGCTAAAAAAATCGAAACAAATGAAGTTGTTATAGAGAAATTTGATTGTAGTTATGTTCCATATCGAAAATATTGAGTTCGAATAAACTTGTAGCCTAATTAGAATTTTATCCGCCACTAATAGTCTTTATCCTATTCATTCATACCCTTTAAAAAAGATAAAATTAATCAGCTACTCGTGAATCCTAATTAACAAAAATATAAAAGAATTAAACAAATAAGAAAGTAAGTACCAAGTAAGAGAGGAAAATTATTGTAAGCCCGTCGATTAGCTACGTCAACTTTCACTTAATAGTGGGTGTTAATCTTCTT